TATTTTTCTTGATGGCTTAGAAAAACATGTAGTCTATCCATCTAATACCTTGACCTATCAGTTTTGTGACCCCCTGCCTCCAGTGATCTTGTCCTTCTGCCTATTTCAGTCCTCCACCCTATTATTGTGCCCTAGACTTTGTTGTTATGAATAATTTCACACCCTCTACCATCTTTATAGCAAGTATCCCACTCTATCTACCACCTCCCACATTTCCAGCTTGCTCCCTTCAGTACTCTGACTCAAAATTAGCCTGGACTCCATGATTTACCACTTTATTCTTTCCTAGCATTTTTCTCATGTCATACCTACCTTGGAAAAAACTCCAACCTTGGTTAAATCCTCCTTTGAGTTCCTCTGCACCTGCACTCATGAGAAATAGATGAGGAAGCTGGAGAAAAACAGTCATAATGACTGGTCTCCCTTTAGACCCATGATCACTAACCTTAAGTGAGTTCTCAGTGTGACAGCAATCCTACTAAGTTTCCATAGCCTTACACTTTACCTCTCTTCAGGGAAAGCATGTCACATCATATTACTGTCTCCTCTGAAGACTCCGATTCCCCCTCCTCTCTACACCTTATTCAAAGCTGATGACTTTGTTTCACCTATCACTAATACTACTGAAGCAGTCAGGAGAGAACATGCATATCTTCCTTCTGCCAAATCTGTCAGCCTGTCCGCATCTGTATCTTTATTTGCTGCTTTCCCTCTTTGGGAACTCTGCCTCATCTAAGGCCACCTTCTTGTGCACTGGATCCCATTTTCTGAACTACTTAGAAGTAAGCTCCTGCGCATGTCCCCCACTCCCCTACATCATCAATTTTTTTTTTACTGCATCATTGCTACCAACACAATGCATGCTGAAATATCTCCCATTTGTACTGCCCCATTTGACAGCTACCCTTTACAGAAAAGTTTTCTATATTCCCTACCTCTACTTCCTCTCTTCTTACTCTCTCTTGGACAATTTCTGTTAACTTGCCTTCTAGGATCCACTTCCCTGTTTTTTCTTCTACCTCTGACTGTTCCTCACCTGCCTCCATTGTTCATTGCTCTTCATCTTGATCTGAAATGATGAAGTGTGTCTCATTTTTCAGTCCTTGGACTTCACTTGACTTTCTAACTTTAATTAAATTTCATTTTATTTACTGGTAACTCTCAAATTTAATTCTTCCATGTTTTTTTCTCCTAACTCCAGATTGATATGTCCAGCTGCCTACCCTACAACCCATCTAGATATCTAAAACAATTTTAAACTTGACTCATCCACAACTAAATTCGTATTTCCCATATCTATTCTTCTCTTAGTCAGCCTTACTGCAGTGTAATAACAATTCCATTTTTCTGGTTTCTCAGGCCAAAAGCTTTGGAGTTGTTTTCAGCTCTTTTCTTTTTCACCTCCCATGTCCACATTGGGTCGACTTTAAGAATAGATCAAGAATCTTGCCACTTCTCACCAGCTCACCAGCTAACACCCTATTCCAGTCCTGCATCAGCTTTTTTGACCTCCAGTCAGGTCAACTGCAGAAGCTTTCTAGTTGGTGTCCATTTTCACTCTTGGCCCCTGTTGTCTGTTCTGCACATGGCAGACAGAGGGATCATTTAGAAATACAAGTCACATCATAGTACATGCCTCTGCTCACAACCTACCATTTGTTCCCATCTCACTCAGAAGAAAATCCAGTGTCCTTAGTATGCCCCACAAAGCACTGCCATGTACAGTGTCTGCCCCCTACTTACCTTTGGGACATCTCTCCTTCTCCTTCATCGTACTCCAGCCACACCAGGCTTGTGGTTTGTCACACACATCTAGCATCTTTCTCTCGCACCACTTCCCTGCTTATTGACAATCAGCTGTTCCTGAAGATAACATGCTGCATTAAGATGCCAGTAGGGAGTCTAATCCCCTTTCTTCTAAGTGGGAGAAATTATAATGTAGTTCTGTAAAACTTACATGTCAGGGACAAATTATCATGTTGAGATAATGCTTAACATATTGGGCCCTGATCACCAGACAGTTAGTGATTATTAGTAGGCACTTTGTATGTATTCATATTTGCTCTTCCATTGTAACTGCTGTTCTCAATTGCTTTGACTTTTTTCTCCATAGTTTTCATTCATACTTTCTCAACTTTTGTGGGGGGACTCATTGTGTAACGCTAGGGAAAAGTAGGAGCTAACTATGGAAGGTACTGTAGAAACCCAGGATAAGTGAGTAGTAGCAGAGAATGGCCCACACTGAGTGCGAGGCTGGTGCCTTTTAGCTCTTGCAACAGTGGAGATTTGTTGGTGCTTAGTGAATTTTTCCAGAAGTCTGCATAGTAGTTGACATTATACCAATTTTATTCAGACTGTAGCTTGAAATTTTAGTCATGCACCACCTTGTTAAATTCTTGCTGAGTTTTAGAGACAGAAACATAAATTTCCCTATATAAACAGTGACAAAAGACATTGGGTATTGAGAGATCTCTCTAGTCTATGGTGGTTGTATATTAAAAACCAAGGTAAATCAGACCATCATGCTGTACTTATAAAGTATTTCCATTATTTCTCAATAAAACTGGAGAAGAAAACAAACCAACAGGTGTTATCCAAGGGAGTAACGTCCTGTGAAGTATGCATTACACACCTACTACATGTATACATACTTTTTCTTTGTAGTAGAGATTCTATTAAGGATTTAGTATGAGGAAAAGAAAGTTTATGAAACATATCACTTGGCACAATTAATAAAAATTCCCACCATACTTCTCTCTTCTCCAAAGTTTGTCTATATTACTGTCTGTCTGTCTCATTTTAACATGCTTTCTGATGTTTTGGATGTTGAGGTCTTACTAATTTGGAAAATAAATAATAAAACCAAGAAAAAGTCTTGAAATAAAATTAAGATTACTAGCACAGAAAATAGAATTATTATTGAATGAAAATTCACTTTTTATCACCACAAAGTACCAGGATATTAAATTTAGCATCAGAATTTTTAGATACTTTGGCAAGAGTGCTATTTTAACCCAAGTAGCATAAAGGGGACTATCATGAAAAAAAGTGGAATTAGTAATGACGTCCTCCATTTTCCCATATGATGGATGAAAACCCCAAATCTTTGAAGTTGGTAAATCAGAAGAAGATTCATTCTTACTCCCAGGAAGTAAATATGAATCAGATCCCATCACTATCTTCTTATTAACTTTCTCCAATGACTTCCTGTTACACTTGGAATCAAATCCACTCTTCTCCAAAGCTCCCAGCAAAGTCCGAGGGATCTAATCCCTGCCATTATCTTTGACCTTGTGTCCTAAGGTGGCGGTTCTCACTTGCTCCCTATGCTCTAGCCACACTGCTCTTCTTTCAGTCCTCTCTGCTTGGAATGTTTTCCCGCATTCTTTGCTTGGTTCCATCCTCTTATGAGATCATCACCATTACCCCTTAGAGAGTCCTTTCCTGTTTCTCCTGCTTAACAGGTCCTCAGTTTTCTTATCCCCTTTGTTTTATAGAAAAGGTTGCATTATAACTTACAAATGCCATTATTTTATTTATCCCTCTGCTTACTTTTTTCCCCCTCCCCCTTGCATCAGAATATAATACTGAGTCTTGTTTACCAAAATGCCCATCACCTTGCATAGGACTTGGCACATTTTAGGTGTTCAGTTAATATTTTTGAATGAATGGAGATCTTTCAGAGAAACATTTGTGAGTTAAACCAAATAACTTGCAGATTTTCTTATGATAAAATAGCATAAAGAGATAAACATACTAAGTTGATAATTCATTTATGTTTATAATCTGTCATCTATAACATCTAAATGTGGCTTTTCTTCATTTTTTATTATGGTTAAATATATAATATAAAATTTACCATTTTAACCATTTTTAAGTGTATAGTTCAATGGCATTAAGTACATTCACCACTAGTGTTGTGCAACCATCCCCATCATCCATCCCCAGAACTTCTTAATCTTTCCAAGCTGAAATTCTATACCCAATAAAAAATAACACCCTGTTCCCCCCTCCAAATTGACTTTTTGTTTCTATGAATTAGACCACTCCAGGGACTTTACATGTGGAATCAAGCAGTATTTGTCCTTTCGTGATTGGCTTATTTCATTTAGTGTAAGGTCTTTAAGGTTAATTCATGTTGTAGCATGTGTCAGAATTTCCTTCCCTTTTAAGGCTGAATAATATTCCATTGTATGTATGTACCACTATTTATCCTTTCATCCTTTGAATGGACAATTGACCTTCTTCTACTGTTTGGCTATTGTGAGTAATGCTGCTGTTTATACAGGTGTGTACACATATCCAATTGAGTCACTACTTTAAACTCTTCTGGGTATATACCCAGAAGTGGAATTGCTGAATCATATGGTAATTCTATTTCTAATTTTTTGAGGAACCAGCATACATTTTCCATAGTGGCTGCAGCATTTTACTTTTTCATCAGCAATGCACAAAGGTTCCAATTTGTCCATATCCTAGCCAACAATTATTTTCTGTTTGGTTTTTTTTTTAATAAAAGCTATCCTAATGGATGTGAAGTGGTGTCTTGTTGTATTTTTTATTTTAATATTAAAATATTTATTTGAGAGAGAGAGAAAGAGCACACGCACTTGTATGTAACATGGGGCGGGGCAGAGGGAGAGCCAGAGAATCTCAAGCAGACTTTGTGCTGAACACAGAGCTGGATGTGGGGCTCAATCGAACAACCCCGAGATAATGACCTGAGCTGAAACTGAGAGTCAGATATTCAACTGACTGAGCCACCCAGGCGCCCCACAAATTGTGGTTTTGATTTGCATTTTCTAATGATTCGTGATCTTGAGCATTTTTCATGTTTTTATTGGCCATTTGTAGATCTTCTTTCGAGAAATGTCTATTAAAGACCTTAGCCTGTTTTTTAATCAGGTTGTTTATTTTCTGTTATTGAACATCTAAATATTTTATGTAGTAGAAAATATACTAAAATACTCAAAGTATGTTTTATTTCTCCCTATTACTAGTGGTGTAAAGTATAATTTGCTGGCTCATGCTACTCTGACCTTGGAAAGTGCTGAGGACAGCTTCAAGACCCATAATCTGTCTATTAATGGAAATGGTGAGTATAGTCTATATTTTACTTATTACATATGTTGTGTTAATAGATAATGTGGTGACAGTAATAATTTCTAATTTTAATATGCTCCTCTGAAGCGGATGTTGGCTTAAATAACATAGGCATGCGTTTATCTGTGGGTTCTTTCTAATATGTCTATCCCTTTTCCCCTAAAGAGAAAAAAAAATTGTTTTCCTTTTTCCATGCCATTTGCCAGAGATTTGTTTGTGAGGCTAGCTTAGTGAGGATAGAAAGGTTTTGTGTATTCTGAATCTCTGTCTTTGACTTGAAATTGATTACTTTACCACCCTTCTAGTTGGCAATCAAAGACCTGTCTTATTTTTGAAGTTGAAATTGAGGAAGCCAACCCTCCTGTTGGTAGAAACAGAGAATATAGGAGAAGGTAGGGCTGAATTAATCTGAACCCTTTTCTCTCTGGATGATACTGGTAGTTGTAGTTTATCTAAAAAAATAATATAACAAGTTGAAGAAGGGAGCTAAGTGATTAGAAAGATTTGTAAAATTTAACAAGAGTATTGTCCATTCTCCCAGATTATTTTACCTATGAGGAAAAATACAGAGTGGTGATGGCAAATTAGTTTAGAAATATAATTTGGGTTATTCTTGTCCATTTTCTGAAGCAGAATATATAAAATTATGTACAACCTTACTTATACTTATTGTTGTAAAGATGGGTGACTCCATACTGATGAAATAGATGATTTTACAACAATATTTTTTAGATTTTGCACTAAAAATTACATTAAAAATACAGAAACGTTCTTAAAACGTAAATGTACAGTGTAACAAATAATTATGAGATGAATATATGCATAACTACCTTCATGTCAAGAAAGAACATTGCCAACATTACTTCTTAATTATTCTAGGTGTAAATGTATCCCAGTTTTTATGGTATTCACTTCCTTGCATTTATTTTTGGTTTTACCACCTATGTGTGCTTCTCTAAATAATACAATTTAGTTTTATCTGGTTTGAACTTTATATGGATAAAATCACATTATGTCTTTTTAGCAACTTGGTTTTTGTTCTTTCAGTATTATATTGCTTATAGTATTTCATTGTATGGTTATATCACTATATCACTATTCAATTATTTTTAATAGTTATAGGGTTCTTTAGGTTTACTCTTTCTTGAGTCAGGTTTAGTAAGTTATATATATATATATATATATATGTGTGTGTCTATTTTATCTAAAATTTGAGGTTCATTGGGGCACCTGGATGGCTCAGTCGGTTAAGCATCCAACTCTTGATTTCGGCTCAGGTCATCTCAGGGTTGTGAGATTGTACCCGTGTTGGGCTCCTTGCTGAGAGTGGAGCCTACTTAAGATTCTCTCTCTCCCTCTCCCCCTCCCCCCCACCACTTGCACACGTGCATGCTCTCTCAAAAAATAAAACAATAATTAAATAAAATAAAATTTGAGGTTCATAAGCATTAACTTCTTAATGATAGTTTTATTGAATTTCCCCAGCATCTATAGTGATGTTCCTCCTTTCTATTTGATACTGGCTTTTTGTATGTTCTCTTGTCTTTTTATTATCATTCTTGCAGTAGGCTTGTCGGTATTTTTATTCAGCTGTCTGTTTTATATATTCTAATTATTTGTTAGAAGTAATTATTGTAGACTATATACTCTGTATTACTATGAGAGGTGTGATAAAATCTGCTGTGATTGTAGATTTTCCTAGTTCCCACAGTTACATCTATTTTTGCTTTATATTATTTGAGCCTTTGCTATTTCATGCACACAATGTTTTTTTAAGGGGACGCCACACTGGAGCCCAGTGTGAGGCTTGAACTCAACTCTGAGATCAAGAGTTGGACACGTAACTGACTGAACCACCCAGGAGCCCCTGATGCACAATTTTTATATTGTGCATTTTCTTCCACCCTTTTACCTTGAACTGTGCTTATTTTTATATTGTAGATATGCCTCTTCAAACAGGATTATATACTGGATTTTAATTTTTATCCAATTTGACAATCTTTGTGTTTTTTTTTTT